AGCTCTAGAACCCATATATCGTTATCCGTCAATCCCAATCTATTTACCCTAGTGTTAAAACCGATTATGATCCCTTAGAGTTCCCAAAAGCTCAGCGTTTTTAGCCATAGTTTACAATTCCATCGATTTTTGTTTGTTTACTTATAACCTGCATTTCAATTTCCTTAGTTCGATAATTTACTTGCTTTATTAGTCTTTCATTCGATATTCTACTTGCTTTATTAGCCTTTCATTTGATTTCTTTACTTGCTTTCTAGGATAGATTTATTTGCTTTATCTTATTTTAGTTTAATTCGTGACAAACAACCAACCTCTAAAACCAATCTAGTCTAGACATAAAGTTAAAAAACCGTAGAAGAATACCAGGCACACAAATCTCTGTGGATTCGATCCTTAAATACTACAATTGATTAGTTGTGCACTTGCGGCTTTCATTTGTTTTGTTAAGGGTAAAACTTGTTCCCTCACGCAGTTGACACGACATCACCAACCTTTGTTGTCCTAGATGGCCAGTTCATCTTTAGCTGGTACCACACCCTTAACCCAAACCTTAATGTTCAAACCTCATGCATTCTCTCTTAAGTTTATATCGACAAATATGTGCAAAAACGCCGGAGAGGGAGGAACAACATAGTTTTCAGTCACTCAAGAGAAAGACTGAAAGAGACAAGAAGGGAGTGTGCCATAAATCTTATGATGCCTCAGAAAAGTTCATTTTTAAAAGTAATTTTCGTGCTCCCTAAGACTCCAAGTCAAAAGGCAGTTTCCCCTTTCTAAAAAAAACGAAAAAAGAGAAAATGAAAGAAAGGAAAGGAAATCAAAATCCTAAAAAAAAGTCTTAGAAGCCGAAATTACTTGAGCCAAGGCAATAGGTATTCACTTAAGGAGTTATGGATTCACAACCTGGACAAAAATCCAAGTCTGGGGGAACTATAAGGAGAACCTGCAGAAAGGAGATCAGAAATCTTGAAGCAAGAAGAATGTGACTGAAACTGTGGGGGCATTTACAGTTCCATCCTCTCTTGCTGTTTTGCATAATGTTCTGTCTCTCTAGAAAAATGTAACCCTAAACACATCAGCCTTACCATTAAAAAGCCTTTTTGATACCTAACCTTGAATGCCTTGTTTAATATCCTTTTGATGAGAACCACTGAAACCTTTAATGAATGTTAAGAGTTAGTTGAGTGGAAGTTGGTTCTAGAAGTATGGTTGATGATATTTTTGAGTTCCCTCTCATTTTTGTTGAATGATATTTTTCCAGATTAGATCTTGTTTTGTTTGAGGACAAACAAAGTCTTAAGTCTTGGGGAGTTGATAACACCTGATTTTGACCATTTTTCACCATTGATTTCAAATACTTTTTCAAAGGTTTTACTTTGTTTTAGGAACTTTTATTATGATTTCCATGTATTTTTATTTTTAAGGCTCTTTTCAGGAAACTTAGGGAATATGATGGCAAAATGGAAGAAATCCACATTTTTAGCTCATAGTCAGACCGTCAGAAGTTCAGCGTCAAATGAAGACTTTCTCACCGTCTGATCCAGCTCAAATTTACCGACAATCAAGAGGAGACAACCAGATTTCCATAGCACTTTACATCACAAAGATCCAACGGTGCAATCAAAAGATACATGGAAAACAGGTTGACCCAGTTCACCAGTCCCAGAATACTCTCACCCGCGGGAAACACATGTTTTACCTGCCCTGGAAGACTCTCACCCCCGGTGGACCTTAGGACGAGCCACAAGGCCAAACATCAAAGCCCACTTTGCCATTTCTCTTCAGAGAAGTCCTAAATGAGACCTGGAAGACCTTAGGACCTATAAATACATTGTTTAGCAGTCCTAAACGGGTGTGTGCTCCTGTAATGAGATTTTGAGCCACCAAACTTTGTTTTTTCTAGGGTTAGGCGATGGAGATGGGGATTCTTCCCCAGATCCATTGTTCTTCCTCCTTTTTATGTTATTAACTTTTCTGTTTCATTCTCTTTGATTCTTCTTTGTCTTTCATCATTCATTGCATCATATCGATTAGGATTTCTATTGTTCTTAGCCATATTCTGGATCTCATCTCCTCTAAGTTGTTCGTAAAGCATGAGAGTAGATTCATGACCTATTCTCTGAGCCTAGGATCAATCAGAGCCACGAGAGTGCTGTATCAGATCATCCGTACCTAGCTTCAGAAGAACATAGTCGCTATAGGAGTCGAGAGCTATGCATAGAGAAGATGTGAGCAGACGAATTCAATGTCCAATGCATGATCTTAAGTTTAGCATGAGAGCGAGAGTTAATTGCTAGATCTAAGAGACTCGTTGATTAAGGTGACGACAGTTGGTTAATCATACATATGTCTATTCTAGTTCAATGCAGATTCCCAGAAACAGATGAAGATAAATCACCCGGAAGCTAATTGGAAGTCCATCATACATCGATTAGAGTAACCCGGAGAAGTCTAAATCGCCATCTATGAGTTTAAGAGTCTTTAGTTTGAGTCGATATGCTTTAGATGTTATTTTAACAATTCATCCTGCATTGCATTTCTTGTGAATATTAGATTACGATTAGTTTAGGATCTTAACCAAAAACTCTAAAACTTTTATTGGTTTATGTGTTTGCTTACTTCCCAGTTTGTTGTTTCTCGCAGATTAGACATCCTCTCTGTGGATCGACATCCTAAGTCCTACAACGTACATCTGTGCACTTGCAGACACTAGGGTTTTATAAATTTAAAACTTTTGGAGGACCAACGAGCTTGTTAAAAAACAACCCTAGGCCCGCAAGCCCATCACCTCCGCGAGCTACCAGAGGTACAGCAAAAAATAATCAGATTTCTTTAGCCCTGAGCACAAAAGAGTTGCCTCCGAGTGCGACTGGCAAAAAGAAACCACTGATTGACAGCTACTAGAGCAAAACAGAGCCATTATTCATATCCCCTTCAGCTCTATTCAGGTTTTCGAAAAAGCTGAAAGGTTTAAAGCAGGGTATTCAGTCTTTGGCAAAAGAGAGGATGGGAAATCTTGTAAAGAAATCGAAAGAGGCCTATGCAGAACTATGCTTGAAACAGGAGGCAAACTTTTCTAACCCATTACAAAAAGCGATGGATGAGGAAATTGCAGCTTTCAAACGCTGGGATATAGTTTCGGGCTTGGAAGAGAGTTATCTGAAGCAAAATTCTAAATTACATTGGCCGGATGTTGGTGATAGTAATAACAAGGTGTTTCATAGAGCTACTACTATTCGGGAGAGAAGAAATTCCATTAGAGAGATCGTTTGTCCTGATGGAAGTGTGGCAAACAGCTTGGGTGATATTAAAGTGGAGGCGGAAAATTTTTCAGGATTTCTTACAGTATGAGGCAGAGGATTTCGATGGTATCACCACTGATCGACTTCAGGATCTCCTTTCTTTCCGATGTTCATTCGAAGATAGAGCTTCTCTTGTTTGAGAAGTAACATATGAGGAAATTACTCGAGTGGTGTTCGCAATGCCCAATGAAAAATTGCCTGGTCCGGATGGATATACGGCAGAGTTTTACAAAGAGGCATGGCCTTTTATACGGAAAGATTTTTCTGCTGCCATTAAATCTTTCTTTGTAAAAGGTTTCATGCCAAAAGGTATGAACTCGACGATTTTGGCATTGATTCCGAAGAAGACAGAGTCGAGGGAGATGAAAGATTACCAGCCGGTTTCATGCTGTAATGTCATTTACAAAGTGATTTTGAAGATAATCGCAAATCGTCTAAGAACAATCCTGCCAAAATACATTGCTGCAAATCAATCTGCATTTGTAAAAGACAGATTACTCATCAAAAATGTCCTTCTAGCTACAGAACTGATTCAAGACTATCACAAAGAGGGCATCTCTGCTCGATGCGCGATTCAAATTGACATCTCAAAAGCTTTCGATTCTGTGCAATGGTCTTTTTTGGTAAATGCTCTCACTGCTCTAAATTTCCCGGAAGAGTTTATATACTGGATATCTTTGTGCATTACGACTGCTTCATTCTCGGTGTAAGTGAACGGGGAACTAGCAGGGTTTTTTAGAAGTAGAAGAGGACTGCAGCAGGGTTGCTCTCTATCTCCATATTTGTTTTTTATTAGTATGGACGTTTTGTCCAAACTCTTGGACCGAGCAGCATCTAAAAGAGAGGTGGGATATCATCCAAAGTGTAAAAACAATGGACTAACTCACCTGAGTTTTGTGGATGACTTAATGATTCTATCAGATGGTAAAAGAGATCAGTGGAGGGAATAATCCGAGTATTAGATGATTTTGCGAGGATATCAGGACTGAAGATAAGTATGGAGAAGTCAACTCTTTTTTTTGGCTGGTGTGTTGAATGATGCTAGACAGGACATGTCAAATAGTTTCCCCTTTGCACTTGGGCAGTTATCAGTTCGGTATCTAGGTCTACCGTTGACAACAAAGTCCATGACAAGGAGCGATTACCAGCCTTTGTTGGAAAAAATTAGAAAGCGAATTGGTTCTTGGACAGCTCACTATTTGTCAATGGAAGGTCATCTTCAGTTGATCAGTTCAGTTCTCATAAGTGTTGCAAATTTCTGGTGCTCTGCATTCAAACTTCCAAGCAAATGCATCCGGGAAATTGAGAGTTTGTGTTTTGCGTTTCTTTGGTCTGGCGCTGAGCTAAATACGAAAAAGGCAAAAGTTGCCTGGTCCGAAGTCTGTCAACCCAAGTCGGAAGGAGGTTTAATTAGGGATCAGATCCCTGAAAGAGATTAATGATGTTAGCTGTTATAAGCTCATTTGGAATGTTGCTTCTGCAAAACCATCTTTATGGGTTAAATGGGTTCAACAAAATCTTCTCAAGCAGAGATCGTTTTGGTCTATTGATGAAAGACAAAGTTCAGGTTCGTGGATATGGCGAAAGTTGCTGAAATAAAGAGACAAAGTAAGGGAATTCCACAGGAGGGAAATAAAGAATGGTCGAACTACATCCTTTTGGTTTGATATCTGGTCAGTTTTAGGATGTCTATACGATATGACAGGATACAGAGGTGTTATCGACACAGGGATTCCACTGAATGCATCAATTGCGATGGCGAAGACCGCTCGCCGAAGACGTCTGCTCTCAGTTGACAAGGCAATAAATGCATTATCATTATCGGAAGAGCAGGATTTCAGCCTCTGGAGGAATTCAAAGGGCAAGTTTAAACCCTGTTTCAGCTCAAAAAATACCTGGGCACAGCTTCGTGAGGCTCATCCTCTGGTCCAATGGCATAAGGGTATATGGTTTAAGTTTGCGATGCCAAAGTATGCTTTCTGCTCATGGTTGGCAATCAAAAATCGGCTCTCAACAGGTGACCGTATGATCGCTTGGAATCCAGGTATTAACTCGGGATGTATCTTCTGCCCTGCATCAATAGAGACAAGGGATCATTTATTCTTCCCTTGTCCATTCTCTGCAACAATATGGACATGTTTAGCATCAGGTCTGCTCTCTTCTCGATTCACTATGGATTGGAACAGCTTAACACAAATCATCTCGTATGACAGCTTGGCCCCTATACCTATGTTTCTTACCAGATATGTGCTACAATGCTCAATCCACACTATCTGGAGAGAAAGGAACTCGCGACGGCATGGAGAACTTCCAAATGCTTCATCTCGTATAATTCAGCAGATCGACAAGCAGATTTGGAATCAGCTTTCCACTATACGATCATCGGGATTCTCCAAGCTGGAGGGCAGCCTTCAGCACTGGTTTGCCACTAGATAGAATTTTTTTACCAAATGTACTTTTTTAAAACAGCTTAGCATCATTCAGTTTCGAAAAACTTTGATGTAAAAACATTGGCTTTTTTTTTGAATAAATTTTACATTCAATTAAAAAAAAAAGCGATAAATCTACCAACTTGATTTAACTATACCAATTTCATAATTAATCTACCAAAATAGGGATAACTATACCATCATGTTATCTTAAATTTTAGTGAATAAATCTACAACCAAAAGAAATAAGTCTACCATTTCGGGTATTAAATCTACCCCAATTGTCAACAAATCTACCAACAAAGTCAATTATGCGAGTAAGTCAACGAATTCCTTAACAAGTCTACCAACATTTTAACAAGTGTGTCATACATGACAACAAATCTACTGAAACTTAACAAATCTACCGTGTCATTGTCAAAACTCTACAAAAAAAAGTCTACCAACATTTTATAAATCTACCAACTCTCGAACAAATCTACCATCGTCCTAACAAATCAGCCATCCAAAAAAATTGCGTTGACCAATATCTGATAAGTCTACCGTGAAAACCTAGTAGATTTATCGTTTTAAAGCACTATCTTTTGCTTACGTGGCACAAAAAAGTAATGATATTTTTGTAAATAGGTTTTTTTCACTAAATGCAAAAAATGTATTTTGGGTAGGACAATTCTTGGGTTCATCCCTAGGGGTGAACCTCTATATTCACCCCCTTATTTTCATCCAATCAAATGAAGTCATCTAGGTTATTTAATTAATATAAAATTTAATAAAAATAAATAAATAGAACCACAAACTCGAAATTTGTCATAATTAAAAAAAAAATTACCTTCTTCCTTTTTCCATCTGTCTCTATCGATTCATTTTAGACTTTTTTTTTCTTTTTTCTAGTATTTTTCTTTTATCTTCTTTGCTCTCTTTTTTGCTTATGATGAACCACCATAAGTTTTATCAAATTCCTATCAAATATAAAACTTTATATTATTAAAAATTTGATAAATTACTCAAATTTAAATAATAAAAATAATGATAATAATAATACTAGACAAAATAAAATAATTACCTCGAATATTTGAGAATAAAATGGTCCATTTTGTAAGGTTGGATTGGTGGTAGCAACCGATAACTGGGTATCGGAAGTAAGAATTGTATACTGAAATAGTTATCAAAATTTTTCAATAATTAATAAATATATATATATATATATATACTGATTAACTTACGTTTCGATGAAAATTAGACATAAACAAAAAATTATAGTGATTAGAAATAGTAAATAAAATAAAAACTCTAAACACTTGTGAAAAAAATGGTCGATTCTGTAAGGTCGAATTGGTGGTAGCAGAAGATAACTGAGTATCAGGAGTAAGAGTTGTATTTTGACACATTTATCAAATTTATTCAATATATATATATATACTTAGGTTTATCCAATAATCAATATATATATTGATAAACTCACGTTTTGATGGAAATTAGACATAAACAAAAAAAAATTATTATTAAAAAATAGTAAATAAAATAGAGTATTTACTTGGAGCACTTGTGAGAAAAATGGTCAATTCTATAAGGTCGAACTGGTGGTAGCAGCAGATAATTAAGTATCGGGAGTAAGAGTTGTATCCTGAAGCAACTTTCAAATTTATCCAATAATTAAAAAAAAAATATATATATATATATATATATATTTATTGATCAACTTACGTTTCAATGGCAATTAGATAAACAAAAAAATTAGTATGATTAGAAACTAGTAAATAAAATAGAGTATTTATTTGGAGCACTTGTGAGAAAAATGGTCGATTCTGTAAGGTTGAACTGGTGGTAGCAGCAGATAACTGAGTATCGGGAGTAAGAGTTGTATCTTGAAGCAATTTTCAAATTTATCCAATATATATATATAGCTAGCCACATCTGATGGAAATTGGACATAAATAAAATTATTATGATAAAAAATAGTAAAGAAAATAAAATATTTACTTGGAGCATTTGTGAGAAACGTGGTCCAATTTGTAAGGTCGAATTAGTGGTAGCGACAGATAACTGGGTATCAGAAGTAAGAGTTGTGTCATGAAACATTTATATATATATTGATCAAGTCACGTTTTGTTAAATTATTTCAATTAAAAAATATTTATGAAATACCTAAAATAATAAATTTTTCTTTGCTGTAGCAGTACTTGATGATTTTGATGTTCCACGTTTTTTCACTTCAAGAACATTCAAATATCGACCATAGGGTCCGACTTTTTGGTTCTTTGGTCGTCCAACATGAGCTTTTCTTTTAATTCCACGTGCATTTGGAACTTCCTTGTAATCTCCTGCTTCCTCTTCCACATGTTTAACATCTGAAGTTGGGAGCTTCCATGCATTAGCTTTCACAAGTTCGTTTTCCTTTTCCTCCTATGTTTTAAGCAACTTAGAGGCAGCTTCATTTGCACATAACGTCAGTTCTATATGTTCAGCAGCAAGAGATGCAATCTCACGGAAATTGCGACATAAATGGCTTTAACGCTTTCCAATCGACTGATTCACTCTTTCATTATGTTGCTCTGAATGATAAGAAGATACACTTCGTGCTTTTGCCTCTTTACTCCATCGATTCAGAATGTAGTTAGATGGAATTCTTCTAACATTCTTCTTATCCAACACTTTCAACGCATGCCGACATAAAATCCCAGAAAATGAATACTTCATGCAACTACAATGTATTGTTTGATTTGTAGCATCATACCTAATCACATGCTTTCGTGCTTCACCACGATAAGATACTTTGTATTCATACACCATCTCAGACTTACTGACCTTTTTGGCAACATAATCACCGATAACTGCATACTGCTTTTGAAATAAGGTAAAACTTCTGGTGTATACACTTTCTCAGCATGCTGCAACATCTTTACAGTAACACTTAATACCGGCGAGGTATGCATCATATTGAAGTCAGCAGTTAATTCTTTATATCACAGATTATCCAACACTCTCTCATAGTGTTCAAAAAAGGACAACAAGTCATAACTACGCTTCAAGTATCTTTTTAATATATTATTCATACTTTCACTACGCTGTGTGCTCACCATATCTGCTGTAAAAGTATGACGTCCATATTCCATTGCCCATTTTTCTCTCACCTCAAACAAATTCTTCAACCATTTATCCTTTGTCAATTTATGCTTCTTGAGCATATTATTCCATGCCAATAACCAATCTTCTTCTTCCTCGTGGTCATATACGCACTTTCCAAAGTCTGTGGCAAACTGTTCTGCTCCATGAAATACATGACTTAGCTTCTTTGCTGCGTTTTGATAAATATGCCATACACATAACCTATGTTTTGTTTCAAGAAACACATTCATTATTGCTTTCGCCATTGCTGCAGATTGGTCTGTTAGAATTGTTTTTGGTTGTTTTCCAGATATTGCTCCAAGAAAAGTCTCAAAAAGCCACTTAAATGACTCAATGGTTTCATCATATAAGAGAGCAGCCCCAAACACAACTGTTTGCTTATGATGATTAACCTCTGACAAATGGAGAAAATGGTCTATCATATTCATTGGTCTTATAAGTTGTGTCAAAGCAAACGACATCTCCAAAAAGATTGTAATCACTTATAGACCGATCATCTGCCCAGAAGATATTAGTGATCATATCATCTTCATCAAGTTGCATTGCATAAAAAAAAGATGAATTATCCTCTTTCCTTTTTTGAAGGTATTCCAAAACTGCTCCAGCATCTCCCTTTTTCATTTCTTCCATTCGCTTTCGATAAATGTAATTTCTATAGTCTTTCTCCATAAAACCCAGATTTCCTTGACCCCCAACTTCTCTACTCATAATTTCAACGGTTCCTTTTGCTGAAATTCCTGACATCTCGGCATCATCAGCATGTTGCTTTTGAGCAAAAGAAACTGTCTGATTGCCCTTCAACAAATGCTTCATTGGTGTCTTCACTAAATCATGGTTATGATTCGGATCAAAAGAAACAATCTTATATCTTCCAGTCTTCTGAAGGTAGCAAGTCATATGAGCTTTACAACCACAGCGTGTGATTGGTTGTGAATACGAGTTTTTGACCGTAGGTTCCTTTCTATACTCCTCTTTTGAGCAAACATAAAGAAGCCTTACAACCGTAGCATTTTTTTCTTCCTCCGTTGTTTCTTAACGTTGAAACCATGTTTGCCTCCATATTTTTGATAAGCCATATATGCAGTCTCATCAGAACTAAACTCCATTCCAATACACAGTTCATCATCAGTTTGAACATAATCCTCTTTCTCGTCTATGTCTTCTTCTTCTTCGAATTCACTGAGTGCAGCTTCGTCTTCACTTATTGAATCATCTTTTTCCTCTTCTAACAAAGCAATCGAATTTTGACTTAACAAACCAGATTCATGTGAGAGTTGCAAACTGGATCCATACTGATCATCAACAACAATTTCACGACCACTTGAATGATTGTTCTCCATTGCAGTCTACACGTCAAAGTATAAGAGAAAAAACAATAACAATAATATCAATGTTGTTAATAAGTTATCAAGAGAAAAAGGAAAATAGTGCAGATTTAAAAATTGTGCAAATTTAAGCATCAATAACGATGATCGTTCTCTTTTATAAATATGATCTAAGGAGACAAAAATACTATGTGATCATAATCGTGGAGGCATAGCCTTCCATAGGGCCTGAAATTATTATCCGGTATCCAATCTCCGATCCGGTATCCGGTCCTATCCGATTCGTAAAAACCGAATATCCGTATATTCGGATCCGGATAGTAAATCAATGAAACCAGATATCCGGTCGGATATCCGTAAATATTCGGTTCAACCCGGATTCGGTCTCCGGATATCCGGAGTTTTCGGATCCGGATCCGGATAGTAAAATTGATTATCCGGTGTATCCGGATATTTTGAAAAATCCGGATATCCGGCTCCGTTCCAGGCCTAGCCTTCCATAACGATTAACTTGGGAAAAGTATAATTTATCATCCCGGAATAAACTTTAGATTTACATTAAATCTCACCTTTTTCGATTTAGGAAAAAGATCTACAGACCATCATACTGATAATGTGTTGTCTTATATAGTATTACAAAAACTTGGTTATGCCTATATTTTACCAATGTGGAACTTTTTACACTAAAAGTTTAGGGGTTTTAATGACTAAACTTGGATACAGCAAAAAAAGACCTAATAAAAATCTATAAAAATCTAGGCATAGTGAAAGAGAAATAAAAAGGAATGAAGGAAATTTATTTTTTTTAATTATGACAAATTTTGAGTTTTTGGGTCCTATTTATTTATTTTTATTAATTTTTATTTTAATTAAATAAACTAGATGTCTTCATTTGATCCGATAAAAAATGAGGGGGTGAATATAGAGGTTCTCCTCTAGGGGTAAACCGAATAATTTAGTAATCCTCTCTATTTATATTATAAATCTTCAAAATTCATTTCTTTAGTATTCGTGGTAATTGTAAAAAAATCATAGTTTTAGAAAGAAAAAAGTTAGTGATAGAATCAAAAATTATTTTAGTCGTATTTAAGAATTTTTTTGATGGTAACTCAAAAGTTATAAAATTCGATCTTTCCTGTTAGATAGGCCCGTCGTGCTTAAGCTTTTGCATCCCTCTATTCTTTCTTCCAATCGTAAGTTTACTTCATCTTCGAGGTCATCGTCCTGAATTAGCTCTTGTCTGTTATTTTGGATCAGATTTGTTGATTTCCCTCTGTCTGGTTTTGCAATTTTCCTCTAATTTAATCCTAGCTATGTCTTGTATAAATCCACACAACCTAGTACATTTATTCACATGATAAACCGAGTATAAACAAGCAGTTTCGTGTCGTCGACTTCGTTTTGTCCAATCACATGAAAGCATTTTTCTTTAAAGGCTAAAATTGACACTTGTTATATTTTGATGTATTTTATGGGGTTGCTTTGGTGGGTGTGAGTAGGGTTGGTGATTTATTTAAGGATTTGATAGTAGAAGTTTGATATGTCGGTTTTAGTTACACATAAATAACATAATAGATGTGATTTGCGTTCATGAGTCGATTGATATATGCCAGATGTTGACTTCTCCATTTGTGGTTTATATGGAATAATAAGATTTTTTTTACTAATTTAATTTTGCGGGATTAAACTACTGTTACAATATACAATTAGTCTTCCTTTAGTTTCTAACTTTATATCGTACGAAACTTGATATTTTCTCATTGTGAGGACCTAATTCTGCCTCTCTGATTCAGAACTTGAGCGTCGTATTGTTGGAAATTTGCGGATATTGAACCTTGTGCTGTAGAATTTTCCAAGAGATTTTCAAACGGTTTTCGTTTAGAGTATAAAACATTAAATCTGAAAACTTTGAGCATTTAATATGGAGAAAGTTATTTTAACGCCGTCAGTGGCGAATCTACATGAGCCAAAAGGGTGGCACTTGCCTCCTATGAATTCCAAATTCTTTGTAATATATAAAAGCTTTAGTCATTTGTCCCTACTAGAAAAATTGCTTTGCCCTTTTTTTTTTGGGGTCAAATTGCTTTGCCCTTTTTTTATGTTTGCCCCCTATAAAAAAAATATTGCATCAACCACCTCCTTATATACATATTCCTAATGTTCCATACATACACAATCTAATACCTGTTGCACCTATATCCTGAAGATATTGACTCAAATTTAAATAACATTATCATAATGACGAAGATGATAAACAATAACATTTTTTATCATACCAATCAACCTAAAACTTTTGATATTCAAAATTAATAAATATCTATATTATACGGTAATATAAACGGATAACTTAAAATTATGATTTTATAATCACAGTTTTTTGGACTAATATGAACAAACAGGTTAGAATTATAATTTTACAATCACAATTTTTCTGGACTAATATGAACAAATAGGTTAGAATTATATTTTTATAATCATTATCATATTTAATACTAGAATTTTTTATAAAAATAAATTATATCTAAATACAAAAATTAAATTTGGTAATTTATTAGATAAAATATATTTATAAAAAAACAAATGAACTTTGGTGCATTACAAAGAAATAATTGTTTTGTTAAAAACAAAATAAAAAACAAAGAAAAAATGGAATCGTGACATAGTAATTTTCATCATGAGTCAAAGACTATTAAGCTCCCAAAAATGACGCTTGCATCTCCTGACATTGATCGTATTTTGGACCTATCTATCCATTTCTTTGAAGATTATTGATGCAAGAACCTAGTGAAGATTGCGAATCAAGTTTGGAGTGCAGAGCTGTACATGGACCTATTGAAATCTTGCGCAGGGAGGCTGCAGGGGTACAGCCAAAAACTCCAAATGGAGGGAAATCCAGTCCAAAAAAGGTAGCCAGGCAACAGACAATGTGGTGAGTGCAGCTACTCTACCAGTAGCAGCGGCTATCACAAACCTCTTGTCTTCGGTTTCTAAGGAGAAGAGAAGTAATAATGATGGTCAAAAGTCTGTTCTTGTCAAGCAGATGAATATTCTGGAGGAGCCTGTGATCATGGTTCCCTCGGAAACACCTGTAGCGGAGGATGTCTGGCAATCTCCAATTAAAACGTCAAAACAGGCTCGTGTGGAACAAGATGATTTAGTTGTTCTCGCCACTGCATCGAGATTTTCGGGTTTGGAGGAGGTCTCGGAGGAAGGCGAAATTGAGGAATCTGGAGAAATATGTGAAACAGAGGAAACAGAGACGGCAGAGATGACGGAGCTTGAAGCTCTAAACTCTCTGAACAATGGTAACCATGAGAAAGAAGTGGCGAATGCAGCGCAGATAGAGCACACAAAGGTCAGGAATTCGGAGCTTCAACTAGAAGGAAACCGAGCTCCTCTCACGCGTGCGGCTAAATCAGCTCACAGGTTTGTTCATCCGAACGGGCGTTCTTCACCTAATGCAGGTCAGAAGTCGTCGGCTCGGAATAGGAGGAACAACAAAAAAAATCATCATTAATGTCGGGTTTTTTTTTAATATACGAGGCTTTAATAAGCAATGTAAACATACAGTGGTAAAGGATTGGGTTCATGGCAATTCTCTTAAGTTTGGTTGCATTCTGGAAACAAGGGTGGCTGAAACCAAGTGTTTGGGGATTGCTGGTGCTGTGTTTCCGGGCTGGTCTATAGTTTCAAACTATGAATACAATAGACTAGGCCGGATATGGGTTGTGTGGAGTGATGAGGTGAAGTTGAATGTGATACGGAAAAGTGAACAGATGATCACTTGCTCGGTATCATTAGCTGATCAAGACGATGATTTTGTGTGTTCGTTTATCTATGCTGCAAACCTTGCTTCAGACAGAAGAGTTTTGTGGGAAGAGATGAAGCAGATACATGATACGGTTATTTGTCACGGGTAAACGTGGTGTTTATGTGGGGATTACAACAAAATCCTCTCTAGCGATGATCACTCGAGTCTGCATTTTGCTAATGATGCACAGGGATCTTTAGATTTCCAGGAGGCTGTTCGATACTGTGGTTTAGTTGATATGGGTTTCCATGGGCCGTGGCTAACATGGAGCAACAAGCAAAGCGAAGGGCTTGTTCACCAAAAGCTAGATAGGGTTATGGTAAATGAGGAATGGCTCCTAACGCAGCAACACGCATATTGCATTTTCGAGGTGGGAGGATGTTCGGACCACTTACGAGGGAAGATACATTTCTCAGCTGAAAGCCAGAGGATTAAAAGGTCATTTAAGTTCATAAACTTGATGGCTAAAATGCAGGAGTTTGCTCCGATGGTAAAAGAGCAGTGGGAGACGTCGGAGGAGCTTTTTCACTCAACTTCTGTGATGTACAGATTGACGAAGAAACTTAAGAACCTGAAACCTACGTTGCGATCTTTAGCAAAACAAAGGATTGGGAATTTAACAAAGCGTGTAAGGGAATCATTTGACCAGCTTTGCAACCAGCAAGAGTTAAATGCTTTAACTCCCTCTGAGAGTGGAGCACAAGCAGAATCTCTAGCTTTTGCTCGGTGGGAACATCTTTCGGAGCTAGAAGAGGTCTTTCTGAAACAGAAATCGAAACTTCACTGGCTCAATGTAGGGGATAAATGTAACAAAGTTTTTTTCCGAGCTGCTTGCATCCGGAATCTCAAAACACAATTAGGGAAATAGTAAACAGTGAAGGCACAACTCTGAGAGATTTTGCAGACATAAAGGGTGAGGCGGAGAGGCATTTTCGTGAATTTCTAACCGAAATGCCTGCAGAGTATCAGGGTATCTCTACTGAGGAACTGGAAGGATTGCTGGAGCGCAAGTGTTCTCAGGCTGAAAGCGCGAGTATGATTGAGGAAATCACTGACGAGGAGGTGATGAAAGTGGTCTTCTCAATGCCAAATGACAAATCTCTAGGACCAGATGGCTATACATCGGAGTTTTTCAAAGGAGCTTGGGCGATAGTTGGTCGTGATGTCATTGTTGCGGTCCAATCTTTCTTTAGATTCAGTTTTTTACCAAAGGGAGTGAATTCAACCATTCTTGCTTTAATCCCAAATAAGAATGATGCAAAGACGATGAAGGACTATCGCCCAATATCTTGTTGTAACGTGTTGTACAAGATAATCTCCAAGATCCTTGCAAACCGATTAAAACGAGTTCTTCCGAGTCTCATTGCCCCTAACCAATCTGCATTTGTGCAGGATCGCCTACTTGTCGAAAACGTGCTACTGGCATCAGAACTTGTCCATGATTATCACAAGGATCAGGGGCCCTCTAGATGCTCTATGATGATTGATATAGCCAAAGCTTTTGATACGGTTCAGTGGAGTTTTCTCCTTAATGTTCTCTCTGCAGTTGGCATTCCTGAAACTTTCATTGATTGGATCAGAATCTGTGTATCTACAGCTTCTTTTCGGTACAAGTGAATGGTGAACTGGTAAGTTACTTCCAAAGTAATAGGGGATTACGCCAAGGTTGCGCGTTATCTCCATATTTATTCATCTTGTGTATGAATGTGCTGTCAAGTATGTTAGACAAGGCGGCTGTGGATCGGCGATTTGACTATCACCAAAACTGCAGTAAGCTACATCTAACACACCTCTGTTTTGCGGACGATTTGTTGGTTTTCTGCGATGGAAAGGCTCGGTCAATTAAGGGCATTGTTACAGTATTTGATCAGTTTGCTGCATACTCGGGCTTGAGAATCAGCTTAGAGAAGTCATCTATCTATATGGCAGGGGTCTCAGAGGACAATCGCCAATCAATAATAGATCGATTCCCATTTGCTGTAGGAGAGCTTCCGGTTCGATACCTTGGACTGCCTTTGCTGACGAAAAGAATGGCTAAGGAAGACTATGCCCCTTTAATCGCAGGAATACGCACACGTATAGGATCGTGGACCGCTCATCACTTATCCTATGCAGGACGATTGCAACTCTTACTATCGGTCATCTCTGGCCTTACAAACTTCTGGATATCGGCTTTCAAACTCCCAAAATCATGCATGGCTGAGGTGGAGTCTCTATGTAGTGCATTTTTATGGGCAGGTCCGACTTTGAGTACAAAGAAAGCAAAGGTTCAATGGAAGGATGTCTGCAAACCCAAAGCTGAAGGATGGCTTGGGCTTCGATCTCTAGTGGAGGCAAACAAGGTTTGCAGTCTAAAGTTGGTATGGAGATTGCTTTCGTGTAGCTCCTCTCAATGGGAACAGTGGTGTCGGGTATATCTTTTTAGAGGAAGAGCTTTCTGGTCGTTAACACAGTCACAAGTGATTGGATCATCGATTTGGAAGCATCTTCTAAAAACTAGAAACGAAGCAGCAAGTTATCATCGCATTCAGGTAAATAATGGTGAGGAGACCTCCTTTTGGTATGACGCTTGGACTTCGATGGGGCGTTTAATCGATGTGATGGGTACCCGAGGTTTTATCACTTATGAGGTTTCGGCTCAAGCTACAGTTGCCTCTGTGTGGTGCACACATAGGAGGAGAAGACACAGGAGTGAAATCCTGAACTCTATTGAAGATGAAGTCTGGCGAGCCCATTCTCACCGCAGTGATGCCAAAGATCAACCCCTATGGCGTGCAAAACAGAACCTTTTTGTGCCAAAGTTTTCCTCAAAACAAACTTGGCACAACCTTAGACAAGTATCGACGCGTAAAGATTGGAGCCCTCTAGTCTGGTTCAAAGGTGCGACTCTGAAATGCGCCTTCATCACATGGCTGGCAATGCTGAATCAATTAACGACGGGTGACAGGATGCGGCAATGGAATTGTGGATCCTCTATCTCCTGCGTTTTTTGCTCTGTTCCCATAGAATCAAGATCGCATCTCTTTTTTTACTGCAGTTTCTCGCAACAGATTTGGGATGACCTGACTTACCGTCTTCTCGGTGCTCGACACACCAGAAACTGGGATGAGATTACCTCACTTCTCTCATCGAACATTCTAGGCCCGACCACTCTGTTCCTTGCACGATATATCTTTCAGACATCCATTACGTGGATTTGGCGAGAGCGTAATAGACGACGGCATGGGGAAGACCCGATCTCTCCACAAGGAATAATATCGGACTTGGATAAGAGAATGCGAAATCGGTTGAGCTCACTCCGATCTGTGGGAGACCACAGCTACGTAGATGGACTCGAAATATGGTTCAACTCCAGAGTTTAACATCTGTTTCATACTCTGTTTTCTGGAAAAGTTTATAGCTCTCTGGTTTTTCTGTTTTAGACTTTAGTCTTTTCAAATCTCTAAACAAGATTATGTAAAGCAAACAGTTCTTTTTTGAAATATAATTTAACATATTTTCAAAAAAAAAGAAGAAGATTGCGAATCAAGTTGTTAACGGCGGTGATTGTATGCATTGTTGAAAGCCGAAAATTATATATGTAAAAAGAAACAAACAGACAAGATTTATGCAACAAACTATTTGATACATAGGAAATATTCTTTAACAAAATCCAATTTTAAAACTTACAAATCTATTCAGGATAGATGGTTCTCCAAACAATTATTACATCTTTCAAGTGCTAAAAAACTTCAGACATTGGATCTAACTTGGTGTCAGAGTTTGGTAGAGATTCTTTCTACTTTTATTCAAGTGAAAAACATGCCGAAAACCTACAAAAAATCGTAGAAAACTGTTTTTTTACCAAATTCCTATGAAATTGTTTCATAGGAAATCGGCCATCGAAAATTATAAAAGGTAGGAAAATGGTAGAAAATTTCCTACGAAAATGTTGGTAGAAAAATTTCAACAGAAATTTTGGTAGGATTTTGGTAAAAAATTTCCTACCAAATTACTACCATTTTCCTTCGATTTTTGTTCCTTCCAATTTTCAACGAAACATTACTTACCTATTTCCTATGAATTTTTTACTAATATTTTCTACCAATTTCCTACCAATATAATAAAATGATTTTATAAAAACAAAAATAAAATTAATATCAGAAATTTAATTTAAATTTAAATATAATTATAAATTTGATTTTAATAAAAAAAGTATATATATATATATAAAAACAAAATAAGTTCATTAATTATTATGAATCTATAACTTAATTGAGTAATTATTAATTAATGAGAAAGAGAAGGTGGAGACTCTTATTTATAGTCCAGCTTCTTCAACTAAATTATCTTAGATTGTCGATGTTGGATAAACCAAAAAATATATTTTTCTACGAAATACCTACAATTGTTTTACAAACAATATTTCGTAGGAAATCCGTAGGACTATTTCCTACGAAATTTCGACCAGCGTAACAATCAATTGGGTCCTACCACTTTCCTACCAAATTTTGACCGTATTTTCTACGAATATAAATTTGGTAGGTTATTGGTTGGATATATCCTACCACTTTTTGACATTTTCTTTTCGTATAAAATTTCTTACCTATTTCCTACCACTTCTATTTTTTAGTCATAATTGCGTAAGAAATTGGTTAAAAATATTCCTACCAAATGTTTTCGTAGGAATATGACATGTTTTCTTGTAGTTTACTTACCGAAATACTCCTTATATTGTCCTTATATTGTCGCTCATCGCTTGTAAGAGAGCTGCTCTCAAAGCGAGCCCTCCTGCCACCAGAGGGGAGTTGACTGAGGCGTGAGTTCGAGAGAAAGAATGGACTTCGCTTTTGTTGTGGTGCGAGAAGGTCCATCCTAAACCGGCCCACTTGTTGTCTGGATTCCAAGCAGCATCAGTGTGACAGACAAATTCAGATGGGAATTCTTCTGGAGCATAGTACACCAGTGGCTGGGGAGACATGAGTTTACTTTTCTGTCCTTCAAGCCACTCTTTGGCATTGGATATAGCCTTTGCAATAGTATCACTCACAGAGAAAGATTTGTCACTAAAGCATAAGTTGTTGCGGGCTGTCCAAATGTTCCAACAAAGCCACAGAGCGAGAGATCCTCTCTCCAGGCCCAGAGATGCATCATAAGGGGGCATCTTTTACCACTTTCCACAGGTCATCGATAGAGAGGTGAGTAGAGAGACATAAGGTAGGAGAGAAGGGAGCTTCTTTCCATACCTTAGATGCAAAGTCATAGTTGAAGAGTAGGTGAGAGGTAAATTCCGATGCGCCATACCGGATGCATCGGACGCTGATTCCTTGGTAAGGCACCACTAGCCACACGCCAGATGAAAGTTTTGATTTTAGGGGTGGTATTTACTGACCAGACATCAGAGATCCAGCTTAAAGAGGTTGAGACTTTCTTTTGGCATAAAGCATCTTAAGCAGAGTAGTAACCAGATCTTGTTGAGTAAACACCAGACTTTTCCTTTAGTCAAATCTTTTTATCTTTTGCATCAAGCAAACTCGGCTGGATTTTCAGAATTTTGGATTCATGGTTAGAAAGAATTCTCTGGATTTTTCTTGAATCCCAAGTATTGAGACTCTCATCAATAAGATCAGAGACCTTGAGATCAGAGTCTGCGAGGGAACATGGGCCCCATGAACTGTTGGGAGGAAGTAGAGAGAAAATTTCTCCCCAAACACGAATGAATTTGCCATTACCAATGGCCCCTCCCAAGCTGTTGGCAAGCAAGTCACGGCCAATCAGGATACTTCTCCAACTGTGTGATGCAGAGGTAGGACACAGAAACTTCAGAAAGTCAGAGGATTTTCAGTATTTACCAAAAAGGGTTCGGGCCAGGATGCTATGCAGGTTGTTCACCAAGCGCCAGCTGAGCTTCGCTAAAAGAGCATCGTTGAAGCAGTTGATATCACGAAAGCCAATGCCTCCATTCCTCTTGTGCTGAGCCAGTTTTTTCCAGGAGATCCATGACATATTTCTCTGTCAGCTTTTGCATCCCACCAGAAACGGGTAAGAGCAGATTAGATCTTTTTACATAATGAACCAGGGAGTTTGAAGCAGGTCGTTGCGTAGGTGGGCATGGAGGCCAAAACGCTCTTCAGCATAACCATTTTACCAGCATTAGACAGGAATCTAGATGACCTCCTCAGGGCCTTTTTCTGATTTTGTCCACTATTCCAGTAAAGAGGTCCTTCTTCCTATGACCTAAGTGTTCAGGGAGCCCGAGATATTTACCAACACCTCTCTCTTTAGTTATATTCAAGATGTCTTTGACACTCTCCCTGATTGCGTCGGAGTCTTTCTAGAGAAGCTTATAGAAGATTTGGCAGGATTTACTGATTGACTCGAGGCTTCTTCATATTTTTGGAGAATGCTGAGTAAAGCCGCAAGTTTGCTTCACTTGTGTTGAAAAAAACATGGTATTGCCGCAAATAACAAGTGATTGATTCGTGGACTGCCTCAAGACACTGTCTGACTCAAAAGACTTCCATCTCTTTGTGTATTAGAGCAGAGACCCGACTACACTTTACTGCACAAAATGAAGATGTACAGAGATAGAGGATCTCCTTGTCGGATTCCTCTAGAAGTAATAAGTGAACCTTTTGGCTCCTCATTAATTTGGAAGGAGTATGAGACTGTGCTAATACACTGCATAACCCACTCAATCCAGCAATGATGGAAGCCAAACTGGGTAAGGATTCACCTGATGAAGTCTCAATCGAGGCGTTCATACGCCTTACTCATGTTGGTCTTGACCGCCATTGAACATTATTTCTTTGCATTCGAGTTCTTGAGGTAGTGAAGGACCTCATGGGAAATGAATACGTTTTCAGAAATGGCCCATCCAGGCACAAAAGCAGATTGATTCTCCGATATGAGTTCTGATAAGGGTTGGAGTCTTCTGGTCAACAGTTTCGAGATGATTTTAAAATTACAGAGCGCAATCGGTCTATAATCTGGCATCTTCTTCAGACCTTGAATCTTGGGAATAATTCGGTATAAGTTTTGTTACATGATTGGGGGAAATAGCCCGAGAAGAAAAATTATTGGATTTTCTCCATAATTTCAGGACCAACAGAGTGCCAGTTAGAGTGAAAGAAGCTGGCAGAGAAACGATTAGGTCCTGGAGCTTTGTCGGCATAGATCGCAAACACAGCGAGTTTGATTTCTTTAGTTGTGGGATCTTCAGTAAGCTTGCGGTTCACGTCATCCAATACTTTGGAAACTATAGCTTCATCAACAATATCCTTTCTATTTCCATTCATGGGAGTGAAAAGTGTTTTAAAGTACGAGACTACAACCTCCACAATCTGATTCTCCTCTAATTATGGGACTCATTCTTCATCTTCAATAAAGAGAAGCTGATTCAAGCTTTCTTGTTTTTTATTACAGGTTGGAAAAAGCCAGAGTTGCGGTCACCTAGGCTAAGCCATAGGTTTTGACTTTTCTGTTTCCAGAAATCTTCCTCCGCAGAGTATGCCAATTTGAGGTCTTCATTCAGCTTGTAGATGAGGGCACCGTCGTGAATCGGGTTTACCATGGCATCTTCGGGTTTTTTCTTGCCATCGACAATAAGGAGTTGACTGTTTCTGAAATGGGCCTTGTTCCACTTGATGATGCCCCAACTATAATTAGAGATACGATGGAAAACAGGCCCGGATGGGCCTTGAGCCCAAGTCTCTTTGATCAGATCCTTCACTTCACCATTTTCTCAGAGCCGGAGAGCCGGCGATCGTATCTGAAGATGTCCTTCTTCTTTCTTGAGAGATCAAATTGGGAGATGGTTGGGCGGTTCTTGGAACCTTGGAACTAGAGATATTCATTCCTAGCGCTGGGAAGAGCTGTGCCCAGTTAGTGTTTGCGAGAGCCCTGTCGAGATGACAACAAACCAAGTGTTGATGTCTAACTCCTCTCCACGTGATACGTTCATAATTTGCATCATTTAGGTTGTATATTTCATTCCAAATCATATCTTATTTCATGCATTTTAGGTCTTTAGGGGTTGTTTTAGGACTTAGGAGTTGCATTAGGTCCCAATGAGTCTTTGCATGTTTGGAGTGTTTATCAGGTGCATTTGGAGCTATTTGGAGTTAAAAAGGTGGATCCAGGAAGAGGAATGGCGATCAGGATTTGAAAGATGGTGAAAATGGGTTTTTGGAGGTTCTCGGCCATTTGCACGTACTGCAGGAAGGTTTTTCTCGGCAATTCGCATGTACCGCGGGTGGATTCCTCGGCCAAAACGCGTACCGGCTGGTTAAGTTTCTCGGCCAAAATTCCCGGATGCAGACACATTTCCGAAATCGCCTGTCCGGGGAACCTTCCGGTCCGATTCAGCTGTCGGGTGCTTCATCAAAGTTGGAGAAGATTGGATCATGGTTCCAGATCAGGTGGAATCATAAGATTTGGAGGCGTGAACAGAGAGTTAAGCTCGTCGGAAGGAACTCCTGTCTCGCTGTCCTTTTGGACTGACCCGATGAGCTCCGAAGAATGCGAAGGACGGTGCACTTCCAGACCGATTCAGTTTACAGGGACTTCATCAGAATCCGATATATTTGAGTCTTCTTTCCAGAACGTCTGAGATCATTCAATTCGGAGCTAAGAGCAAGAAGATAACGTTTCCGGAATGGACACATGTCTAGAAGCCTCTTTCTGATCGTGTCAATGTACTGCGAAGATGAGCCCTCCAGGAAACCTTCCACTTCCCAAGCACCGAAGGTTCCTTCACCAAAGTTGAAGATGTCTGAGTCTTCTATCCACTGAAACTAGAATCACACCATTCGGACCAGTACCCTAGAAGTTACGCCTCCCTGAAGGTGAAGTGGTCCGAGGAGCCCTGAATGTTGCGAGATTGATAACCCTCATAAAGCCTTGAAATTATGCTAAGGGAAAGATGGCATGGTGGAAGGCCACGGTCCACATCTGACCGTGGCATTTGATTGCATTTCTTCGGGGTTTGACACGGTCTCCACATCACGGTCTACACTTGACCGTGTCAAGATAGAATTAGCCGCGGCATGATCTTACTTGCATTCGGGAATTGCCACGAGGTAATGCCACGGTCTACACTTGACCGTGGCAAGACAACATTTGTGATCTTTCAGACGTTCGGGATTTGACACGGCCACACGCCACAGCTTGAGACTTGGCCGTGGCAATTTTATGCAATCCTTCGGCGTTTGACACGGCCACGCAGCACGACCTTGAACCTGACTGTGGCAACGTTATGCAATCCTTCGGCATTTGACACAGCCATGCATCACGGCCAGAGGGAGCCCGTGGCACCATGATTCATCCAAAAACAAGAGACACAGGACTTGACACGGTCACTTGCCACGGCTTGACCAAAACCTGCTAGACCGTGGCAAACTTCTTTCTTTACCCACCAAAGCTGGGTCAGTAACCGGTTTGTTCCAGGCTGACCCGGTTTATCCAAGACTACTATAAATACTTTCTAGACCTAATTTGGAAAGGACCTTATCTTATCTTTAGTCTTCTTTTCCTTTTTGGTGAAAGAACCATTTGCTAATACCTTGTCTTGGAGTTTAATATCGATTTGAAGAGTGTTTTCCATCTTGTTTTTATCATTTCTCATCATCAAATCACACTTCTAATCATGATTAACAACACATCTTGCAAAGGATCTAGTGTATTAGTGAGTAATCCCATATTAAGGTCTTAGATATGTAGATTAGGGTGCTTAAGTGGTAGATTAGTGAGCTTAGGGGTTAGATCATGCATATTTCATTCTCTACAACCTGTTCTTAATGCTAGATCCATACAAATCATATGTGGTCTAGATTCTAGACATTTCATGCACCAAAAGTGTTTGATGAAATGTCTGAACCAAGGTTGTTAGAGGTTTAAGTGTTATTCATCATGGGAATGATTGTCTATGTGCTTAAATGACAGATTAAGCTGTTTCTTAATGCTTGTTGATTCATGTTTCACTAATGATGATTAGGTTAGAAACTGTTTTAGCATAGGAGTTGATACCTTCATCAGAGGATTAACTTAATCAATGATGTTTAAGTTGAATGGATAGCATTGATCATATGATTCATTAGCTCACTAGTTTATCACTGAAGGCACCCTAATCCACTATCATGTCTAAGACCTTTCTCATCATCATAC